ATATATATATATATAGTTACATGCTAACTTTATCTTGTAGACGGAGAAGTAGGGTAGAGGTTAATTAACCAAAAGTAATCACAAAGGAGAACTTTACCTCTATATGTTAAAGGACAAACTCTGATGTAGTTTAAGGAACTCAATTTTCTGTAATTGCTTTCGCTTTCAGATCCTTAAAGACCCTAGTGTTTCCAAGGATGTTCTGAGGCTTCGGGCCAAAGCACTAAAAAAGTTTGGAGCAATCTTCCAGGTAAATTGTTTAATTCCATTTTTGCATCTGTGCATGCTATTTCTTAATATTTGTTACTAGGAAATTTGTAGAATTACCTTGAACTTTAAGCAACCGATCCAATTCGAATCCTCTTTAATGTTTCCAGGGTGCCAAAGCCCCGTACAGTAGAGAAAACAGCCTGCGCCATGAAGGTGACATAAAAAGAGATGCCGCGTCATCATCGTAGTGGTATTTGTATTCATACCTGCAAGATTTTTGCCACAACAAGTTTGGTGATTTATGGTAGTCATTGAAAAGGGTTAATTGCCTTGCAACAGACCATTGTGTTCCCTATATTGGTTTAGAATGTTCCAAGACTCGTATTAATCTTGGCTTCTTTAGTTTGTTGTTACAAAACATCCCAGTGATTCATATCAGTTGATTTTAACGTCCGATTCTGAAAAGTCTTTTATGTTAGCTGGTACTTTCTGAAATATGCAGTTTTTGAACTCCATTGTAGTTTCTTGTTTTCATACATTACGTAAACTAGAGCGATGAAAGGAAGAAAGCTAATATGTTGTTCTGTCAGCTCTATATTTGATTGATTTAGGGTATGTTCGTCTCGCGGGTTCGAGTTGAGAACGTAGATTAAAAAGTAAATTTATATTAGAGAAAACACTATAGGAAAACAAATAAATTTGAATTTTTTGAGAGAAAATACTGTAGTTAAAAGTTTGAGTTGTGATTTAAATTGTGAAACAAACAAGGAATATTTCCTCAAAAAAAAAAAAAAAAAAAAAAGATCAACGCTCGTGAATGCTCTTTCATCTGTATATGCTACTATATAAGAACATGTCCAATGGACCAATATAGTGCTAAATTAGTGTGTCAATGTCAAGTTTTAGCATTTGAGTAGGAAAAGAGCAGTGGTATTATAGTATTTTTATGTTAAATTTGGCATATGCTACGCTTATTGTCAAATTTGACACAATTGTGACATTTGATTGCTATTGATTGACATATTTACTTTTTAATTTGATCATGACACCATTATCATTTTCAAATTATTGTCAAATACATGTTTAGTTTTACAAGTTCTAAAGCTTAATAATTACGTCAAAAAGTAAATATAGTATTTTTGAGCACAATACATAATAACATATTAGATGTGTTATTTTCATAAATTTTTAATGTCAAATATCCTATTAGCATTGGCATTGACATTGAAAATGTGTAGCATACTTGGGTTGGTTTTTCTTTGCAGAAAGTAACATTGTTTTTTTGGATTACATAAAACAAAATTTGGTCGGCCTAGGTTATAGTTCGAGATGAAGAAACCTTTGATTGATAATGAAGGGGGGAAAATATAGTGAACCAATTTGGGGAAGAAACATATCTCCCTTTTTCATTTAAAATTATGTAGTATTAAGGACAAAAGAAGGGTTTTTCTCTGATGTTTTTTTTTTTTTTTTTTTAGAATACCGGTGTTTCTTGGTTATCAATAGGGCTGTTTATAAACCTGCAAAACCCGCAAACCCAACCCAATCTAAAAAATGTATTTTCTAGCATTAATTTTTTTTTCGGCCCATTCAATACATGGCCCGAAGTTTTTGGATGGGGTGTGAGTTGGGCCTTTAATGGCCCGCACACCCCAACCCAACCCGTACACCCCATGAACAACCCTTATTTGTAATATCTAACCCTATATATCATTTCTATTTTCTACAGTTCTACTCTCTAGTCTTTCTTCAGTCTTCAGACAACCTTCACTCTTGGCTTTCCCTCCTCGACCACGACCAGACCTTCACATATCATTTCTATTTTCTACAGTTCTACTCTCTAGTCTTTCTTCAGTCTTTAGACAACCTTCACTCTTGGCTTTCCCTCCTCGACCACGACCAGACCTTCACTCTCCGCCTCTCCTCTCCTCGGATCTCCGCCTCTCCTCTCCTCGGATCTCTACCTCTCCTCTCCTTAGTCTCCGCTTCTCCTCTCCGCCTCTCCTCTCTTTGGATCTATGCCTCTCCTCTCCTCGGTCTCCGCCTCTCCTCTCCTTGGATCTCCGCCTCTCCTCTCCTCAGTCTCCGCTTCTCCTCTCCTCTCCTTAGTCTCCACTTCTCCTTTCCTCCAGGCCAAACTCCGGTCTCCGCCTCTCCTCTCGGCTTTCTCCAGTCTCCGCCTCTCTTCTCGGCGTTCTCTGGTCTCTGCCTCTCCTCTCAAATTTCTCCAGTCTCCACCTCTCCTCTCGGCTCTCAGGTAAATCTAAAATTTGAAATCTGATTTCTGCTCGATTTCGAGGTTATTGTGAGGAGTTTGCTCTTGAATCAAATGGGTTTTGTTTATGATTTTTGATTTGCCGCATGTGATTTTTGATTTGTCGAGGTTTATACAATAGTTATGTGATTTCAGACAGTAGCTATGTGATTAGTGAATGTGTCAATGCGATTTTTGATTTGTCTGTTTTGTGAATGTGTCGATCGGTTTGGACTTTGGCTGGTGTTATATTTTTTTGTTTAGGATGGATAAGTTCCTATCATCATCAAGCAACAACACCCAAACTTCTGGATTTGTATCATCACCTTCCCCATACCTTACTCCTAAAAACCAATTAGCTCACCCTGAAGTTTTTTTTTTTTTTCAAAACACCAGTCCCTAGATCACCAAATAAAAATATGATTGATTTAGAAAATGAGGAGACAAATGGTAAGAGAAAGCCTGTTAGGAAATCTGAGGTTTGAGATCATTTTACTATTAAGAAATAATCTATGTGATGAAAGAGCAGTGTGTAATTATTGTGGGAATGACTATGCTTGTAGTTCTAGAACGCTTGGGACAAGTAGCATATTGGTTCATTTAAGAAAGCAATGCAAAAAGAATCCCTTTAGAGTTGAAGATAAGAAGCAAAAATTGATAAGTTATCAGTTGTCGGATATGTATTAAATCTGGTCAAAAGTCAAATTAGATTGAAAAAATAATATAGCTTTAACGGTTGATAAGTAGATATATAATTCCGGTGTTCTCAAAAAAGAGAGAACACCAGCGAAATTTCCAAAAAAATGATAATGAATAGTATAAATGCCTTTTTTCTATTAAAAAAATAATATTCAGATAATGCATTCCTAGTGACAATGGCTAGCGTCACGTATATGGTGATAATTAGGTGCAAGTTGCCAAGAAAGAAGCAAAAGCCAAGATATCTTTCTATGGAATTACGATTAATAAGCAGAAAATTTCATGTTAAAAAAAGAACATGACGTTACGATCTCCTCATTGTTCTACTTCTGACATGCCCTTGTTTGTTTTATTGGCAACCATCGGGGAATTACTAATTAGCTGCTCTGAAAATTACATGAAAACGTTGGCTATTAATAGTATCACATACTTGTTTTTCCCTTAAAATTAGAGGCCAAATTAGTTAATCATAAGTTCAATTTCCAAGCGATTAGTTGGAAATTTCTCACCTTTTATTGTGGAATACTTGGCTATGCGAGAATGTCTTCTTTTTGCACAATAAAGTGTACTTGAGTATCTTTACTGAAAAATGATTTTATTACTATTATACGAACGATAAATAAAGCAAACTCTTTCATCATAGATTTTTTAATTTTAAATAACGCTAAGATTTTGATTGATGGAGGTGCTGATGATGGTTCTTACAATCACATTTCTAGATAATGCAACATGGTAGTCCATACATTAGCGAAATGAAGATCGGTATTAATTAGAAGATTACCTTAGTTGTATTGCTGCTTTTGTAACTCGACTTATGAAATTCATTTCATCTTAAAAAAAAAAAAAAAAAAAAAAACAAACAAACACAGTGATTCTGATTTTGTTTGAGACAGAATCCAATGCAACAAACAATTCAATAGTTCTGTAATCTAATCCTTGGACATTTAACAAGTGCAAGGAATGTTTCCCTTGATTAGAATAGATGGTACAAATATTTTGTCATTTGAATATTCCTAGCTACTTTAAACAAAAGGGTTATAGTCATAAACGATGCCCAACCTCGTGGAATTTAAAAAGTTAATAGTTTTAAATTATATGAGAACAAAATTTTAAAATCCATTACAGAATGCATTTTATTGGGTTGTATAAAGGCGCTTTATTGAAACTTCATACATTCCCTTTCCAAAAAAAAAAAAAAAAAAAAAAAAAAAAAAGCTTCATATATAACAATATTCTTAGTTAAGGGATAACTACTAAAAGTTATTCTCAAAGTGGATGCCATTAGGCATATGCTTCGTGGGGTGACCCAAAAAAGATGTCACAGAATAGTTACGAGACAAATGTCTACAGATTTACCGTTCAGATTGCGTATATATAAAACTTTACCCTCCCATAATTCCTTGCTAGTTTTAATCAAAACGGACTTGAATACTATGCCAACTTAACCAATTAAACACACTAAAACACAACTTTTGGTCGCGCCTAGGCCACCAACTTTTTGGCATGCCATTTATTGTCGCTAAAAGGTAACATTTAAAGATGACTAAAGGGGCAATATGATGTAGTGCATATTGACATGTAGATGTGTTCATGAATTGAAATCCACATATTCGAAGTTAATCCGCCAATTCAATCTAAAACTATTTGATTGAAAAAAATTTCAATTCATTATCAAATAAAAAATTTTCTCAATTTAATTTAATCCAATCCAAAACTTTGCCTTTGAAGTTAATAAGCATATTAAATGTTTTAATTTTTTTTCTTCATTAGAATTTAGAAATTAAAATAAAACCAATAAAACTTAAAATTCAATTTATTACAACCTAATCAATAAACTTTGCCTTTGAAGTTAATAAGCATATTAAATGTTTTAATTTTTTTTTCTTCATTAGAATTTAGAAATTAAAATAAAACCAATAAAACTTAAAATCCAATTTATTACAACCTATGACAAATTACTAGCTTCAATAAAACTAACTTCCATGAAACTCTAAATGAACTCTTAATCATTCATCAACATTACTTTAAAGTTCAAAATAATTTAATATCTACAGCCCAAATAAACATTATCATATCATAGTTTGACAAATTTAAATTTGTTACAATCTAATAACGATGAATTAGTTAAATAAGTATACAAAAATAAATTTAATATATAAATATATATACTTAATTCGGATTCACAGATTTTACGGATAACAATTCACAGTGATAAAAATACTAGTGATGTTTGACTATTCTCTTGGTGACCTAATTATAAACGGAGAATTATAAAGAGCAAATACTTCTCCTACAACTAGCTGTGGCTTGCGATGGTGTATTTTAACTTAAAACTCATAAAAAGGTAATAGAAACATCATCAAAGATTGACAACGAAACAAGTTGGCCAATTATTGAACACAAAGAGGCAGGGGAAGATTGACTTAAATTAGGGGATGAGGCTGCCCTAACAATATCACTTTATTACAAAGAAAGAAAAGAAAGAAAGATAAAGAGTATTTTATATATGGCACAGTGCTTTTTTCTCTTTATTCTCCACCATTGTCCTTTTCAAGTGGTATTTGGTGCTATGTCCTTGTCGTTATGGATAATTGAGAGCACTAGTCATCCATAAAAGCTATTTTATGCAAACCTAATGCCATATTGTTTTAGGCACAAACCAGGACAAACTATCCTACTAATATGCTAGGCGTGCTTTCCAAGTTTCCACTGCCATTTCTCTAGAATACTCTAAAGATAAAAGAAAAGTACCAACAAATACTATTTCCCATGCAGCCACTTTTACCTTAGGCCAAGTTAACTGTGGCACGACTAGTTTTGTTTTATTTTGTTGTACCGTAGAGATCAAATTTATCAGACATTCGATAATGAAAATTTTTCTTAGAAAAAAAATTCAGAAATACCACTCAAGATGATAACAAATATTATGCCACCACACTTAAAAATACAACTACCATTTAATTAATAAAAAGAAAACAAAAGATTATAATGACATTTAAGTATTTCGAATGGTATAAATAATATGCATGCACAAAATCATAATAAGTCATGTATTTTTCTCAAAAATTTTAGTATGGACCATTGAAATTTGAGTTGTTTTGATTCATATGGACCTGACTAAAAATACAAAATTTAAACAGTTCATAAATTGTTAACACGGTACGACGGTATATGGTAGGTGGAAAAAAATATTTTCATGAATTAAGTGGTCATGAAAATAGTTTTTTCCTCGAGTAAAAATTCTGAAATATATTTTAAAAAATAAATTCCCTTATCATTTTTTGAAATTTTGTATTTTGTATTAGGCTTTGTTGTATTTTTTAAATGCTTAAAATATTCTTTAGAAAGTATTTAATGGTAATTTTCCTCTTTTTGCTTCATTTTTTCAACACATAGTCAGAAGTGCATAACAAATAAAGTTGAAATAAGTTTATTAAGTTCCAATAATACGTTTATAGTCTTTAAAAACAGAGGAACAAATTGAAGGAAAAAAAATCAAAAGGAGAAAGTATAATTATGTAAGAAACCAGTGTTTTTTTTTTTAGTTAGGTTCTTTTATTGTAGAACTTTCTGTTAGTAGTACTGTTTATTTCTACCTGTTGGATTTAGTCAAAATCACATTAAACTGAAGTAACACATAAAAGTGATGGTTTTTCAATCAATATCTAACGGTTAAAAAAAAGAACTATACATCATTTTTTCGAGACATATCGTGGGAATCTCTTTTTTTTATTTATTATTATTGGGGAAATCTATTAGCTCTGCGTCAAAATTAGGCACTTTTGAGTCAATGATTTGACTAGAAAGCACACAAAATAAACATTCTAAAGGGCTTTGAAATTAGCTCGATTGAACCAAGAAAAGGCTAATGCACAAGCTCAAAGTGAAAAGGAAAATCATGACAATGCCACTTTGGTTTCTAACCTCTAAAATCTCTTCATTTGGAATTCATTTATGCAAAAGCTTGGTGCGTCAATTAAAAAAAAAAATGGCACTCTGATTGCGTTACAGAAAAGAGCCGTACTTGTAAATGCTCAAAATATAGGGGGTATTATGATAATTTCTAGTTTCCAATGGGGTTTATCTTCTCACTATTATAGTCTTAAAAAATTAATTACATCGATCCACTCTTAAGACTTAGTGCCCCAACAACGCAAAAGTGGTCTATGTCCCCTTTGTTCTCTTCATTATGAATTTAAAAACCAAAAAGCAGAATTAAAGTTTGAATTGTTTAATTTAACTGTCAATTTTCAAATTATCTCTAGGATTTTTGTGCTCTTGATAGGATCATCAGCAAGCCGCTAATGTAACAATATAGATACATGAGGGAAAGCATAACATTTTGGCCCGTCCAATATTTCTCTCTTGAATGAGAGGAAAATAAAGAGATATATATAGCTAAATATAAGGCAGATATATACAAAAGTGTAGTACGTGTGCTTTGAAACACGAAATAATGGGCCGCATGGTTGTGAAGAAGATCGGTCTCCTCTTTCTCCTCATTGCAGGATCACTTTTATCAACTTCTCTGGCAGGTTTATGTCGTCCTTTTATCTCTCTCTCTCCCCCTCTCTCTCTTCTTTGTTGCAGCTTTTAATGCATAACGATATGGCACTCACATTGTCAGAACTTTCACTATATAGTAAAAGGCCCAAAACATGCTTCTGCATGTGCATGTATATGTGCATATGTATTATATATAGATATATAGAATAGGGAAAAGTACTGAAATTATTCTTTGGCTTCAAGTTAGTCATAATTTATCAGAATGAAATAACTCAAAGACCATTGTTTATAAGTATAATCTATAAGCATTATGCACTTACAGAAACCAGCTTATAATCATAGTTCAATGACACGCTTAAGAAAATTAATTAATTGATATTTCTAAGAGCTAGTTAAAGTTATATATATATATATATATATATATGGAAACTGCACTTATTTTCTTTACTAAGTTTAAGCTTCTAATAGTGCAAAGTGTATGATCACAAAATAAGGTAAAATATCCTCTATAAATACTCTAGCTGGCTAGTTACGCATATATTTTCCTTTTGCTTGCCTATATATATACTATACACGCCATATAGCCATGCATAAATATTGTTGATTTTTTTTTTTTGGTTTATAATGTTTGTATAGAGTGTATATATAAACACAGCTTGAATTGCCTTGAACTTGTAGGTAGACAGTTGATTAACTCGGCAAACAAGTTTTCTAAAGCAGTGGATGCAACTCTTGATGAGGTTTGTAGTTTATTAATAATAATAATAAAAAAGTGCCCATCCTTATTAGCTAACTTTTTTTTTTCCTTCTTCTTATTAGTTGATTAAGGTTTTAATCTTCCTATTAAATCAACACACACACACACACACACACACACATATATATATATATATATATATATATATAAACAGATTAAACAGTTTCAACCATTAATCATCATCAAAACCTCTCGTATTGTTTAATTTCTTCTTCTTTTCAGGAATATTATGTATATTTTTTAATGGAAATCTTTTGTACTCATCATTATGAATAAATATGCTAGCTCGTTTGTTTCTTGTAGATTATTCTGGTCCATTTAAAAGCAGAAAGAAAAAAAAGAAAAAAGGAAACTCTGGACAGAAATAATGGTATTGTAACATTTCAAGTTATTTGTTTGTGTGGTAGGAAATGTTAAGGAAGCCAATGAACCACAAGGAAATTGCCATAGTTCATGAAAGGCTTCTGAGGGCTAACACCAAAGACTATGGAAAATACGACCCAGCACCAGCTCTTGTTAAGCCTCCTTTCAAGCTCATTCCCAACTGATCATGCTCATCACGATCAGTATATTATATGTATTATATATATATATATATAAATATATACATATGCACATAGGAGCTGGTTGTCAGTCTCTGAGTACTTTTGTAGAATATGATGATCAATAAACGAACTTAAATATCCAAAATAGTTTGTATTAGTATATATTGTGGGAATGCATGCATATATATATATATATATATATATTAAGTTTTGAACCCCTAATATTATGAGTATTTGTGCATTTTTGCACAGGTATTCGTCAGCCCTAATTTTTTATAAACTTTATGCGTGCTCTGTTTAACCGGTTTTTTGTTTTGTTTTTTTTTTTTTTTCCGTTTATTATTGATTATTAGGGACTAGGGTTTAATTCCTAACATATATTAAAAAATGGGTGAGGACGGAGTCAAAGAGTACTCGTTGGGGGACCTGCCAATACTTACACTAATCCCTGCCATGATGTTTATTATGAAGGAAAATTTCAATAATATTATAAACTAAATTAGAAATTCAACCTAAATATTTAATTCAAATTTATTACTATTACAAAATTATATATGTATATCGTGACGGGGAGTGCTTTCCCGTTTCCGCTCCGTCCCTAAAACTTTATCCCCATTTTCATCTTGATCGGTGCGGATTCCCATGGACCCTGCCGCTCGGAGAATTGCGGCACAACAAATCATAAAAGTTGGTCCTCGAGAATATATGGCTATGAATCAAATAAAGCAAAAAAGTACGTTGTAATATTCTTTCAAATATTCTTCCGTATTCTACTCTTTCAAGATTTTGGAAATAAATTAAGAACACAACATATGAATAAGAATATTGCAAATATGCATATAATTGAGTGCTGGGAATCGGGAAAGTTATGTTGCAAAACCTTATTATGGTATCCCCACAAAGGTAGTGCATGCTTAATTTGCAGCATGCTCCACGTAAGGCTTTAAGCCAAATATATATATATATATATACATTTTGCGGTATAAAGTACTATAGGTCACTTCGTTTACTAATTCATTTGGCAAAACTCTTAACCGTTCTATTTTCCTGTTTGGTATGGATTCCATCATCTAATGTCTTAATATTAATTAAGAGATTAAAGTTGGGGTTTACATCCCTTCAGCCAAGCAATTTTCTTCCTCTTTCTTCTCTTACTAAACAATCATTAAGTAGAAAATCCTTCTACTAATTCTCTCACACTTTTTCTCCTTTCATTTTTCACTCCAACAATCAAGCTCTTAAGCTGAGTTATTCTACAGCTGAGTAGAAACTTATTTAGATATTTATCACATAACACTAGTCTTTAACGCGCGCGAACATTTAAAATGACGGTTATGTAAATTGATTTTAAGAAAAAAAAGAAAGAAGAAAATAAAGGACATAAAAGAAATAAAAACAAAAAAAGCAGGAAAAAGATATAAAACGAAAGATAGAAAATTTTTTTTTAACTTATTTTGTTGTATTTTAAATCAATTGTATTTTATCAAGTCATTGGTTCCTATAAATGTTCACCATTCATGTTAATTAAAAGAGGTATTTACGCCGATAAACATCTTTATTGTAATGAAAACTTCAATATAATAATGACAGTAGAAATGAAATTTGTCAAAGCCCCAGCCCGTGTAGTGGGGTGCCGGGGGCTAAAATAGATCAAAAATTTACATTTTTATTTATGTTTTACATTTTAAAATTAATATACGATTTTTAAGAATTAATGCAATAAGCGGCACCATTTTTTGATGAATATTATGTTTTTCTTTATTTTTCATATTTAAAACATAAAATAAAATAAGATTGACGTCAAAAAATTATGAAATTTTGCATACATGATTCTTACATTTTTCTGGGCATTCCCGCAAAAAATGGCCTAAAAAATGACGAAAAAAAGTAACATGCTCTCAGAAAGCCCCCGACCCGCGTAGTGGGGCGCCTAGGGGCTGGGATGGGTAAAAAATTTACATTTTTATTTATGTTTTACATTCTAAAATTAATATACAATTTTTAGGAATTAATTCAACAAGCGGCACTTTTTTTTATGAATATTCTATTTTTTATGATTTTCTTTATTTTTTCGTCTTTGAAAAATAAAATAAAATAAAATAGACTTAAAAAAATTATAAAATTTTGCAGACACGATCATTACATTTTTTTGGGCATGCCCGCAAAAAATGGCCTAAAATGACAAAAAAAATAAAATGTTGTTAAAAAGCCCCCAGCTCGCGTAGTGGGGTGCCCAGGGGCCGGGATGGGTCAAAAATTTACATTTTTATTTATGCTTTACATTCTAAAATTAATATACAATTTTTAGGAATTAATACAATAAGCGGCACAATTTTTTGATGAATATTATGTTTTCAATGTTTTTCTTTATTTTTCGTCTTTAAAAAATAGAATAAAATAAAATTGACGTAAAAAAATTATAAAATTTTACATACACTATCCTTACATTTTTCCGGGCATGCTCACAAAAAATGGCCTCAAAAAATGACAAAAAAAATTAAAACGCTGTCAAAAAGCCCCCAGCCTGTGTAGTAGGGTGCCCAAGGGCCGGGATGGGCAAAAAATTCTTATTTCTATTTATTTTTTGCATTCTAAAATTAGTATACAATTTTTAGGAATTAATGCAATAAGCGGCAGCATATTTTGATGAATATTCTATTTTTTTATGTTTTTCTTTTTTTTTATTTTTAAAAAATAAAATAAAATAAAATTGACCTAAAAAAGTTATGAAATTTTGCAAACACGATCCTTACATTTTTCTGGGTATGTCCGCAAAAAAAAGGCCTCAAAAAATGACAAAAAAATTAAAACATTGTCAAAAACGCCCAGCCCGCGTACTTGGGCGCCCAGGGGCCGAGATGGGTAAAAAATTTACATTTTTATTTATTTTTTGCCTTCTAAAATTAGTATAAGATTTTTAGGAATTAATGCAATAAGCGGCACCATGTTTTGAAGAACATTCTATTTGTTATGATTTTCTTTATTTTGTCACGTTAAAAAATAAAATAAAATAAAAGTAACGTCAAAAAATTATGAAATTTTGCATACACGATTCTTACATTTTTCTTGGAACGCCTACATAAAATGGTGTCAAAAAATGACAAAAAAAGTAACACGCTGTCAAAAAGCCCTCGACCTGCATAGTGGGGCGCCCAGGGGCCGGGATGGGTCAAAAATTTACATTTTATTTTTGTTTTGCAATCTAAACTTAATATACAATTTTTAGGAATTAATGCAACAAGCGGCACCATTTTTTGTGGGCTAAAACTTAATAAAGAAAACAAACATGATTAGTTATTCCTGAATCAACTATTCAGGATACGGAATCACCCTTTTACTAAAACATGTTTTTAGAACTAGCAAATCATATTTGTTTGAGTTCCTTTCTTTATTTCGGGAAACAATTTCTTTGTAAGAACTAAGACTTAATAAAGAAAATAAACATGAGCAACAACTCCCGAATCTACTATCCAGGAATAAGGAATCACCCTTTTTACTAAACATGTTTTTAGAACTAGTAAATCATATTTGCTTGATTCTTTTCCTTTATTTTAGTGGAAATGACTTTCCTTTTGTCTTTTATTCATGCCCTTACAATATTTAGCCAATCCTTTTGTTTTATGGATTTTTAGATACGGTATCTGATGACTGCATTATCTCATAAGCTGTCTCCATGCCTTCAGGCTTCTTGTGAATTACCACGCACAACCCTAGCTAATAGTTAGCTACAGTGGTTTTGTTAGGGACAGGAGGACAATCCTCCATTTGGGACAAACTTATATTCATCACATGACTGTAAGTTGTTTATGTTACTTTACCACTTTGCACAGTTTATCTCTAGTCAGTGTTTCAGTTTCATGTAGTGAGATTTTAGGATTTGACATATTGCTGGAAATAAGTATAATATTCATCTAATCAATTTATGTGCATGAATATCAAAACATGTGAATTTAGGCACAATTAAATATGATGCATGATGCACATGAAAAAATACATAATCATGTTTTAATTTTAGGTGCCAACGATAATCCAATTTACCACAAATAAAGTGTACCTTTGGGTAGTCAAATTATTTACAAATTGAACCAAGACTCCTCTCAGTTAATAAACATACTCAAAATATCTCATATTTTCATATTTATTAACTACCGTTATTTTAGTCAAAATATAACCAACAAACTTTGATTATATCTTCATGAGTGTAAACCACCGTTTCAAATCCCATAGACTTAACTCCAGATTGCTACCTTTGGGCAGTCAATTTGAAAATACATCCTGAAATCCTATCTCTAGGAAGCCAACCTTGTTATTGATCCGGCAAGGACACTCTCCTTTAGGAGGGCGATTCAATGTCGCCG